AAGGTCATAAAATCCAAATACAAACTGAGGAGCTGTCACAGACCAGAGAAGATTGAAATGCAAAGTAAATACAAGGTGGGAACCTAGATTGGACCCTGAACCAGAAGAAGGACAGTGATGGGATACCTGGGGAAATTTACATAAAGACCATAGATTACTTTTTTTTTTTTTTTTTTTTTTTTAGCTATCCTGGGGTTTGAACTCAGGGCTTCACACTTGCTAGGCAGGCACTGTATCACTTGAGCCACACCTCTGGCAAGACCATAGATTACTTAACTGTGTCATACCAGGGTTAATTTCCTGGGCTTGTTAATTGTCGTACGGTTACTGTGTGAGATGCCAATGTCAGGGGATGCTGGATGAGAGGTGCTTGAGAGCTCTATTCTGTTTCCAATTAGAGTCTAGAGTTATGTCAAAATAAAAGAGCATAAACCTGCTGGGTGCTGATGGCTCATGCCTGTAATCCTAGCTACTTGGAAGGCTGAGATCAGGAGGATTATGGTTCAAGGGCAGCCTGGGCAAATAGTCTTTAAGATCCCCCATCTTCAAAATAACCAGATCAAAATATACCGGAGGTGTGGCTCAAGTGGTAGAGCACCTGTTTTGCAACTTCGAAACCCTGAGTTCAAACCCCAGTCCCACCCAAATAAATAAATAAATAAAACCCGTGGACGTGAAAAAAACAAATCTCAGGTCCAATATGACACAGTGGGTTTGGATGAACTAACGATGTAAGTATAAAACACACCACATTGAAGGGGAAAAGTAGAAATCCAAGCAAATAGCTGAAACTAACTCAAAATTCATTCAGACAGCTGCCAATGACAAAAATTATGGAGTCTTTGTCCTCAGCACTGATGTGACAAGCTCAGGGGTTAGAATACTCAGGAGAAACTCAGATCCTTGGCCCTATCTCACACCCACAGCACAAGACCCTTCTAACCGTGCTCCTTGAAAGCACCCCTTTGGCCTGGACTTGGATGCCTCTGGTCGTGGGCAGCTCACTCCTCTGCCCCCTGGGATGAGATTTAGTTAGTGAGGCTGAGTGCTATGGATAGCAGTGGGAAACTGGAAAGAACCCAGACAAATAGGGCCAGGTAATTCTAGCTACTGAGATCAGAGAGCACCACATAAGCAAGTGATAAGCAGGTGGCCTATCTTAATGCATGGAAATGTGTTTGTGTTATACCCTATGTGATAAGGGAAGAACAGAAGTTGCATTTACACACCGATTACAGTTATGTTTAAAATCTAAGTGTGTGCAATAAGGGCTAGAAGATAATTTAGAAAGTGTAAACAGTTGTAGCTTCAAGTTCTTTTTAAAACTTTTTATTTATTTTTCACAGTGCTGGGGATCGAACCCAGAGTCTCACACATGTTAAGCAAACACTCTACCACTGGGCAATATACCCCATCTTGATTGTTATAAAAAGTGATATTAAATTTTAAATGAAATTTAGTATCCAGAATTTTTTAAAATACCCTTGATTAAAGATTTGTGGCCAGACGTCAGTGGCTCACGCTTGTAGTCCTAGCTACTCAGGAGGCAGAAATCAGGACATTTGCAGTTCGAAGCCAAGTTTGCAAGGCTGGCAGAGTGGTCCAAGTGGTAGAGTGCATGACTAGCAAGCATCGAGCCGTGAATTCAAATCCCAGTACCACCAAAAAAACCAAAAACTGGGGATTGTCATTTCATGATACATCGAGAAAGGCTGCAGGAACACTGTCTAGGAAGATTCTATGCGTGCACCGTGTGAAGAGTAACACGACTGATTAGTGATGTCTACGTCACTGAGAAGCTACAGTGTGCTTGCTATGTAGCTGTCACTCTTCTAGAGACACTGCCAGTTCCCAGTGTGACTCTGGAGACCTTAGGAGCCATGTGCAGGAAGAGACCTCTTCATTGAGTTACAAACAGTAGGATTTGGGGCGAGTCACCAGAATATGCAGTAAATGCCATAAGGGGGACAAAATCACGTTGCTCCGTAAGAGGTTGGTTTTAGAGTAGGTGGGCACTGAGGGGAAGACGCTGTAGCCTTTTACTGGAAAGGCTCTCTCGGGTGGACAAAGGCATGGAGGAGGGAAAACAGTGGACCTCCTCGGAGGAAGCAAGGAGCATGCGTGGCTTAGCAACTATGAGGTAGCAGAAGGTGAGCTTAGTGATATAGACCAGGACTAGACGGAGAGTTTCCTGAACACCCCAGTGACAGACTTGGATTTTTTTGGTAGGGGGATACTGGGGTTTGAACTCAGGTCCTCACATGCTCTACTTGAACGTACCCCCAGCCCTTTTTGCTTTAGGTATTTTTCAGGTAGAGTCTCATGTTTTCTGCCCAGGCTATTCTGAGCCTTCTATTTGCATGTAGCTGGGATGACAGCCGTGCGCTACTGCACCAGGCTATGGATTGAAATGGGGACCTTGCTAACATTTTGCCAAGACTGGCCTTGAACAAAAGATGTTTCTCTCTTCCTCCCGAGCAGCTGGGTGAGCCACCATGCCCCGACAGCAAGCAATGTTTTGAGTCAGGCGATGTAAGAGGAGGTGGGATTAGAGAGTGAAGAGAAAATACCTCTTTCCTGAGAGACAACAGGAGGTCTGAGCTCTCCTCCTGGTGGTCTCCCAGGAGTCTCCTTTGGAGTGGAAATCTGAGTACTGGGATATTGGGGTGTGGGAGACATAACTAAGCCCCGTTGAGAATAATCTTGTGGGCTCCATTGACTATTCTCAATTTCCAGCGTTCTGGGCCAGGCACTGATGGCAGCCTTAGTATGTGCCCTCTGGGAGTTTCTAGTCTATGGAGAGGAAGAAATGCACTTCCAGAAAACAACTGGGGACCCATCACAGCCAGTGTGAGACCCAGCACAATACAGCAGCACCAGCTGGTTTAGGAGCAGAAGATGAACTTGGTGGGAGCCAGTAGGACACGCTTCTAGGAACTCCTGTACTCAGTAGGTGGTGGCCTTGGATGACTTCTGCAGATCCCTGACGTAGAAAAGAGGACTTTCTAGACATGGGGGTGGATGAGGATGAGACCAGCCAGAAGCAAGAGAGGACTCGGGATCCCTGGGGACCTGGAGGAGCCTGGCCAAGCTGTCAGAAGGTCAGGTTGGGCAGGCAAGGGCTGCAGACTCCCAGGGCCTGGCAGCTGAGCAAGGATGCCCTGGCCTGCTGCAGTAGGGCAGGGATGCTCAGAGGGGTGGGATGTCACTGGGACATGGTGAGTCTGACAGCTGTCAGACTCCTGGGATCCCACCAGATGAGGAAAGGTCTCCAGAGGCCCCTGCTGGGGAGTCCAGTGGGCCTCACAAGACTTAGGGTGTTCCATGAATTTGGCAAGAGTCCAAAGATTTCATAGCTTTTTTTGTTTCCTGATCTTCTGAATCTGGGGCTCCCCAACTCCCTACCTCACCAGTGTCTCTGGGGACTGTGCAGGGAGTTGAGTTGACCTTAAGACACAATCAGGCAGGGAAACCTTCCTGTCTGTCCAGGCCTAAGCAGACTGGTCCCTTCCTTCCCTCCCTCATCCCAGGGCTTGGGGAGGCTCCAAACCCTGGCTGGACAGTGGGCAGCGGTGGCCTGAGTGGAAAATCACCCCCTGGCCAGATGATATCAGTGGTTGGCAGGTCTGGTCCTGGCCTCCTGCCTGTGGCCCAAGGGTTTGATAAATCTGTTTGGAGCCCTGAGTGCGGGGTACTGGCAGGGAGCTTTTTCCACTCACCACCAAACAGGGTTTCCTTGGGTCAGATCGGTGGCCCAGTTCCAGGTCACTTGAGGCCATGGGAAGTTTGTAACTGGGAGGTGAGTGGGGGGTGGAAGGGATAAGGGAGATGGGGGAGGGGAGAGGGTGCAGGTGAGGGATAGAGGAATAGGATAAGTCAGACTTGAGGCCAGGAAAAGGGTAGACAAGGGCTTGGAAGAGGATCATGAGAGAGCAGACACAATTTAGAACCAAATTCAGAGGTAGAGTTACAATGTGGTATAAAAGAGAGAGAATGAAGAAGGGCAGCAAGGGACAGGTGTGGTCCCTCTTTTCATGCCCTGCTCCAGACCTCTGTTCTGGCTCAGGTGAGAGGCACAGCCAGAGCTGCTGTGGCTTGCTGTGTGCATCCTGGCCATGCCCTGAATTAGGACCAGGTTTTCTCCAAATGTCCCATTTTTTCACTTTGTGAAAGCTTTGGAAGTCACCCCAGTTAGCTCTGACTTCGGCCACTGGCATTCCAGCCCCACCCTAGCGTCAGCACTGCCCACACCGCCATTGTTACCACCATCAGTGCCCACCACCATCTTCATAACGACCCTGCTAGTTATTGGCCCTAGATCCCCAGACACTCAGACTCCGCCTCCCAAGGGCTCAGGGATGCTGAGCACCTGGACTTGAGTCGGACCTCCAAGTGCATCACCTGTAGACCATTAGTTCTCAAAGATTTTGTTCCTCCTTGGGGAAATACCCAATGCCTAAAGACATTTTTGGTTGTCACAACGGAGGGCTGCTCTTGACATCTGGTGGGTAGAGGTCATGGATGCTGCTAAGAACGGTGCCCATGACAACTAAATACTTGTCCCCAAAGGTCATTAACACCAAAGTTGAGGAATCCTGCCTACAGATTCCTTTGCTGTACCTTTTTCTGGCTTTCACCCCAAAATACCCACATCATGCCTCTGATTCCTGGACGAGAGGTAATCTTTGCCACTCCATCTTACAACAACTTTGTTCTCTCTTATCGCTGGTACCTCCTGGCCTCTGCTGCTCAAATTAAAAAGTCAATAAGATGAAAAGTCTGTCGTGGCCACGCTCCAGAGGGAAAAACATGCAGAAACAATTGATACATGGCACCCAAGGGACACCCTGGCTTGGGGTCATGCTTACCCAGGGCAGGGAGGCAGGGGCTGGGCTAGATCCTGGGACTATAAAGGGACAAGGAGGGCTTAGGTCTTCACTCCACTGCACCAGCGGAACTCGGAGGCTTTTCCTGTGAGAGCAGCTGGGAAGTGCAGCAACATGAAGTGGATGGTGGTGGTCTTGCTCTGCCTCCCGCTCTTGGAGGCAGCGCTCAGGTGAGCTAGGGGCCTGGCTAGTGGTGCAGGAGGCCTTAGGGGAAAGCCTGGAGCTCTGCAAGGAAGAGGCAGCTGGGCCAGCAGCCACCCGGGCTTTATGCTAGAATTTCTGCTAAAGGAAGGGAAGGCTGTCTTTTCTGTGTTGTGCAGGACTCAGGCAGGGAGAGACATAGACTTGCCTTCTGGTCACTTCCAGTCAAAGGGAAAGGCATAGTCCCTTCCCCTTGTCAGAAAAATATGGACCTGAGATAGAGAGAGTAGGGACAGCTACTGCCCAAGTAGCCCTTGAATGGCAGCTATGGCTTCTTCCCACAGAAAGGAACAATCCTGTCTGGATAAGGAATAAGATATTCTCCCAAAACTTTCCGAAAGATTCCAAATTTATGGACAGATGCCTAAATCACATAAGCAGAAGCAGCAGTAAATGTAAATCTCCCTACTTTGAGGTATCAGGAGAAAAGTCATAGAAGCACCAGGACAAGGCTCCTGGGACTTCAGGAGGGACCCAATCTGCCACACTGCCTTGCCATTATACCTGTAGAGTACAGTCAGCCTGTCATGCTTGCTGTACTGTGTGCACTCATTCAATCAACCATGGACTGGAAGCATTCAGGAAAATGTTGTGTGTGTACAGCCTTTATTCTTGTCATTATTCCCTCAACAATACTGTAGAACAATTATTTACAAAGCACTGGGATTGTTTTTAGGTGTCACAAGTAATCTCAAGATGAAGTGTATGGGAGAATATGTGTGTTACATGTAACACCTATGCCTAGCTGGGAAATTGAGCATCACGGATTTTGGTACCCATGGGTGGTCCTGGAAATGTCTTAGGTGAAGAGCTGGCTACTCTTAGAAACTTTTTTTTTTTTTTTGATGGTACTAGGGTTTGAATTCAGGGCCTCACATTTGCTAGATAGGCTTTCTACCACTTGAGTCACTGCACCAGTCCCTGTGTGTGTGTGTGTGTGTGTGTGTGTGTGTGTGTGTGTGTGTTGGGTATTTTTGAGAGAGGGCTTTGATTTTTGCCTGGTCTGGCCTTGGACTGTGAGCCTCCTGATCTCTGCCTACCGAGAAGCTAGGATTATAGGCGTGAGCCACCAGCAGTTGGCCCTCAAATGTGGAAGAGGTAGTTGGCATGAAGCAACTATCAGTCTTTACAGCTCATATGGAAGTCTTAGCAGAATTTCTGGAGACTGCAGAGTCATAAGGGAATGGGGATTAAGGTGGGGAAAGAAGTGAAGGCAGCAGGAATTCTGGATCTGGGAACAAGGCCCAGGGGGACACATAGAGACTTCTGGGCAATGGCAGGCAGCAGGTCTGGGAAGAAGATAACCAAGGGGTGACTACGCCCATGGTGACATGGGCAGAAACCATGATTCATAAGTTTCAACTCCAGAGCTCCCTGGCTGCCTTCCCTGTGGACTTGGTGTCCCAAGAAGAACAGCATTGGCCTCCAGGCCACACAGCAATAGGGGCAGAACTGCTACTGTTCTCTTTATTCCATGCTCTGTCACATTGGCCAGTGCCAAAGGGCCACCATAGGGACTCTCTTTGGGGTGAACTTTGCTTTCTCTAAAAATGCACCCATCCTGAAAAAAAGTGGTGCCCAAAGACCTCTCCCCATTCTGAGAAGGAATTTCTGTGATATTTTAAAATGGAAGGCCAGAGCAGTAGGAGGACCTCAAGATAGGGTGAGAGAAGGCATAGGAGAAGACTGTAGTTTTTTGAATCTTGGAATAAGCACTGAGAAGAGTTTTGAGAATGAGAGGAAGGGGGAAGAAAGAGAGAGGCACAGGGAGAAAAAGACTGAGACAGAGAAAGAGAGACACAAACAATAGGCATGTGGGAGACAGAGTGGGAAAGAGAGAGAGAGAGAAGAAAGGAGAAAGAGACTAGAAGATGGGGAAGAGCAAGGGGAAGGAGGGAGGGCCCAGCCCTGATGCACAGCCTTCTGTAGAATCCCCCTGAAGAAAGCCAAGTCTATCCGTCAGACCCTGAAGGAAAAGGGTTTGCTGGAAGAGTTCCTGAAGACCCACAAGTATGACCCTGCTCGGAAGTACCGCGCCAACAACTTCGGTGACTTCAGTGTGCTCTACGAGCCAATGGGTTATATGGATGTGAGTCCTGACCCTCCCGACATGTCCCTGTCCCTGCTGCCAAAGCTCAGAGCTCCCTGGTTTCCTCCTCTGAGGTTGACTCCTTTGGCCCAGTCCCGCGATCAGAGCCTCCCTGCCTGTGGCAACAGCTTGGACTAAGCGTGGGGAGGGGCCCTTGCTGGTCTAGAAGCAGCTGAGCCCACCGAGAGCTTTGTGGCTGTCCTGGGCAGGCCCAAACCAAGGGGCTGTGGGTTCAGGGCAGGTGTGGATGGGAGGCTTGGGCTCCTGTTTGTGGTGCAGGTTGGAGGGCAGGGCTGCTCCCTTCTCTTCTCTGCCTGTGGGTTCCTGGCTCTCTTGGGAGCTAACAGCCTGCCTGTCTTCCCCGGGCCCCCTAGGCTTCTTACTTTGGTGAAATCAGCATCGGAACTCCACCCCAGGACTTCCTGGTCCTTTTTGACACTGGATCCTCCAACCTGTGGGTGGCCTCCACCTACTGCAAGAGCCTGGCCTGCAGTGAGTGCTGGGCTGGGCAGGGATGGGCAGTAGGCACAGCAGGGCACTGGAACCCCCTGGGGATGCTGGCAATAGCTTATTCCTAGAGAGTTCTAGGGACCTGTGTGGTCACACATTGTCCCCACACCAGAGGGAAGAGGCTGGCCCAGATCAGAGCTGGGTGACCAGTTGTAGCCCACCTTACCCCACCCCGTTTTATTCCACTCTACCCCATTCTGATCTCTCCGGGCAATGCCATTCTTTCCTTGTGAATATTTCCATTCCACTCTGTCCCACACAACTCTACAATGTTCTATTCCACCCCACTCTACTTGCTAAGTTCTCACTGAGTGTCTCCAGGGGATAGGACAGAGCAGTACTGATGTGGTCCCTGTCCCACAAGGTTTTGACAGACAGTTCACTTTCTTAAGATTGCTCTGGTCCCTGTCAAAGCCTTGGTTTGGGGCCTGACATCTCTGGTCCAAAGTGTCCCTCCTTGGCCTCACCCTAAGCTATCTCAGGATCCTGGTATGACCAGCTTCTTGGTGGGGTGGAAGTGGGGATGAGGGACACTTGGGCACTCATCACTCCTTCATTGACTGAGTTCGGCAGTCTCTGTGCCAGGGCTCCACTGGAGTCCAGGACTGATGGGGTGTCTAGGTCACCCACGCTACAGGAAGGTCATAGTCCTGGGGCAGCCCAGTCATCTGTAAGTCAGAGGGAGCTTTGGGGCCAACGTTCCAGGGCTGGGAGCTTTGGGGTCCCTAGTGGGAGTTGCTGAAGCCGCAGGCTGTGAGCACAGTGTGAGGGAGAAGCTGAGGTGGGAAGTCCCAGAGAGCCCCTGAGAGCTGGGCAGCCCTCTGCTTACCAGCCTGACCTCCATATCCTGCCTCCCCCTGCAGCCACACATACCCGCTTCAATCCCAGCAAGTCCTCCACCTACTACACTGAAGGGAAGACCTTCTCCCTGCAGTATGGCACCGGTAGCCTCACCGGCTTCTTTGGCTACGACACTCTGACCGTAAGTGCAGTTCCCTCCCCAGAATGAGGGATGTGAGCTGGATGGGGGACTTAGATGGACTCCCTGAAACACAGCAGAAAGTCTGGGCTCTGCAGGAAAGGAATTCAGCACAACAGGGCCTTGTCCATTCATGACTCTGATTCTAGGGACTATCCTGTGCTGGGCCCTGGGGACACCATGATGAGCCAGTTGAACATGGTCCTTTTCCTTCAGGAGCTTAGAACCTGGGGAATTCAGAGAAGAGGGAGTCAGGGCCAAGGGGTGGAGTGCTGCTGTAGTCAGGGAAGGCTACTTGGAAGAGAAGGTGGCCTTACAAGACCTGTCAAAAAGGGGAGGAGTCAAGGTGAGGAAAATTGAAGAATGGAGCCTAGAGGGGGTCTCTTGGGGGAGGGAATGGGGGAGGTGGGTGCAGTCAGACTTATCACCTCTCCTCCACTGTGCCTCCCCTCCAGGTCCAGAGCATCCAGGTCCCCAACCAGGAGTTCGGCCTGAGTGAGACAGAGCCAGGTTCCACTTTCTACTATGCAGAGTTTGATGGCATCATGGGACTGGCCTATCCTGGCCTGTCTGCTGGGGACGCCACCACCGCCTTGCAGGGCATGCTGAACGAGGGTGCTCTTTCCAACGACCTCTTCAGTGTCTACCTGGGCAGGTGAGCGTTTACCTTGGTCCAAGGGTTCCCAGCTCCCAGCTCAGGCCCAGTGCTGTCCTGGAAACTGAGCCTAGAATGCTTTGGGGGTTGGAGGCACAGGCACAGGAGGGTGTAACTCCAGGCACACCTTCTCTCTTGGACTTATAACTCCTTCCCCCACCCTCTTCTCTAGCTACCCCAGTCCACTTTTTTTTTTTTTTTTTTTGCATTCCTTGGCCAGGACAGAGACTCTCCACTTCCAGCTAAACTTGAATGTTGCTGCCTGATTCTCAGAGCATCTTGGGGTGGCCTCCTTTGTCAGGTCCCAGTGAGCTCACAGCTCTGACCAACGTTTTCTACTGTGTACCTCTTTTGTATTATAATCTACTGCTTCATCTCCTTTGATCTATTGTTCCAGCCGGTCCTGGAGTCTTCTGGTCTAGGCTCACAGTTGACTCCTCAACAGTTGTAATCCTTCCAGCAAACAGAAGCCAGCCATAGGCCTTGCCTTTCTTCCTTCCTCTTCAGTTGCCCACCTTCTAGAGTCAGCTCACGTCTTCTTCCTGCAGCTTAAGCACTGTCACTCTGCTCCAAAAGTTGCTGACTTCCTTTCTGCCTCTGTTTACACTTCCTCTACATGTAACCTGTAGGAGGTCTTTCCCTCCCCTCCATCAGAGTCCTACCTCTCTCCAATTCCCCCAGAAAAGTAACAAGTTGGGCTTGGCTGGGACTCCTGGTGATAGAGTCCACTAGTGGCAGGAAGTAAAGGCAGAGGAGAGTAGAGTATGGGGTGGGTTGGGGGCCCACAAACTAGCAGCATTCCTGGAGGCAGGGCTCTGTGGGCAGCATCACTGGGGAGCCTGAGGCACTGAGAGGCCCAGACAGGGAGCCCCAGTCTGAAGGGCACACGGCCTATCTTCAGGTAACCCCATTCTGAGGGGATCATAGCCTGTCATCAGGGAACCCTGGTCTGAAGCCAGGAAGGAGCTCTGTTTCCCTCTGAAGGTGACTGCTTAGTGCAGATGTCCTTTTCTGTGGCTTCTCCCTGACTTACCCTTCCTTTTGTCTCCTGCAGCACAGAGAGCTCTGATGATGGGGGAGAAATTATCTTTGGGGGTGTGGACGAGAACCTGTACACTGGGGACATCTACTGGACCTCTGTCACCCAGGAGCTTTACTGGCAGATTGGACTCGAGGAGTGAGTTTGCGGTGGGGCCCTGAGGTTATGGCTCTCCTTGGAGTGGGCTTCATGGCAGCCTCTGTCTCACATACCTGGAGGCACGGGTGGGCACAAAGGACCCACCCCAGCTGATCACTACAAGAACATCAGAGTCCAGCTCAGCCTGAGAGGGCATGGGCCAGGGGCAGTATAGTGAAGAGGAAGACTTAGAATTCCAGACATTAGAGCCCCTGTAGTCTAACACCAGGGGCCCCATGGATTAGAAACTGGGCTGTTTCCAAGTCCTTACAACCAATCCGTTGTCCTGGCTTTCAATGCTTCTAGAACCTTCCTTGAAACTTTAAAAAAAATATATTTCATGACCACTTTGGTGGCATTGGCTTGAATCTGAGATGGTCTGAGTCAAAGGACTCACTGTACTGAGCACCCAAGGTTACACAGCTCTGAGCTGTGGCTATTGTTCCTTAGTGGTGGGAAGACCACCCCTGGTTGCCTGGAATTGGTGGAGACTGAGGTTGCCATCTTCTCACCATTCAGGTTCCTCATTAGTGGCCAGGCCTCCGGCTGGTGTTCTGAGGGCTGCCAAGCCATTGTGGACACAGGAACCTCTCTGCTCACTGTGCCCGAGGGCTATCTGAGTACTCTTATGGAGGCCATTGGAGCCCAGGAGAGCCTGTATGGAGAGGTATGTGTGGTGTGCTGAAAGAGTCTCCCTGCCCCAAGGGAGGCTGGCCCAAAGGCACCTATGGATTCTCCTGGGAACTCAAGAATAGCTGAATTATTGGTCACCATGCTTCCAGCTGCCCAAGGCATTGGTGGAAGAGGGACTTGGGATGCCTGAGGCCCTGAGCAGGATGGGGATGCAAAAGGTTCTAGTAGGCAGGAATTTCTTCTGAGTGCAATGGCTCAGGGAAATATATTGAATGCTTGTTGGGCTTTAGGGTTAGAGCAAAATAACTGGAACATGGTCTAGGCAAGTGAGTGACAAAGGGACAATCCTTTAATCCACATGGGGACATGGTCCCCTGCTCCCTTCTGTCCTGAGCCCATTCCTGCTAATTTTGGGGGACTGATAACTACTTTTTCAACAGATCTGTATATTTTAAAAGGACTCTTGCAGAGTAAAGGCAGTGATCCAAGCTCCTGGGGGGAAATTGAGATAAGAGGAAAGTTTTGGGGTGGAGAAGATTCTCAGGTCTCCCTAAATCCCAACCATCTATATGGGTCCACATGTGAAATGCTGGTGTCATGTACATAGGTTTCTCCTGCAGCTGTGCCCTCCAGGCTGGGGGCTTGGACTGGGGCCTGGGATGCTGAGGTGGCAGGCTTAGAGGGTTGTCTCAGGTGGGAGATGAGGCAACCTGGGTCCTGTTCCCCTCTGCAGTATTTCGTGAGCTGTGACAGCATTGACAGCCTGCCCACACTGAGCTTCGTCATCAATGACGTGGTGTTCCCTCTGGAGCCCTCCGCCTACATCATTAACGTAAGTCCTGCTCCCCATGGGTGGAGCCACCAGGATGGGGGTGGGAGGGAGGAAGGGATGCAAAGCCAGAAATATTCAGCCTTCTTGTCTGTGCTATTCCCCAACTAATGTCAGAACTGATTTATTTTACTCACTCAGAAGAGTGTTACCCATTACCAGATATTAGTAGAGACAGAAAGTGGGCTACCATTGTGCAAAGCACTTTGCCTGGGCCATCCCACTGCTTTATCACAGCATTCATTTCCGTTTTACAAATGAAAACTTGGAGGTTCAGAGAGGTTGAGAAATCCACCCAAGGTTACACAGCTAATCAAGGAAGAAACTAAGGTTTGAATCTAAGTTGAACCAGACTGACCTGGTACAAATCAGGAGCAGGAGCGGGGGTCTGTGGGAAGAGAAGCCCTCCAATGAGGAGAGCTGACTCTGCTGGGGGCCACTGCAGCCTGAGTTCACTTATATGAGAAATCCCTCTCACTGGCCTCTGCTTGCTGGACCAGCTGGCCTCTAAGCTCTAAGCACAGTCCTTGACTCACACATCTGTGCCCCTGACCCAGAGCTCAGGACTGAGCAGCGTCCAGCTCACGTATAAGCAACAGAATGAGTGCTACCTTTCTGTGTTGAGCAGGAAGATGGCTACTGCATGGTGGGAATCGAGTCCATTGACCTCAGCTTAGATGATCAGCCCACTTGGATCCTTGGAGATGTCTTCCTCAGGTCCTACTATGCCGTCTTTGACATGGCCAACAACAGGGTGGGCTTCGCCGTCGCCGTCTAGAGCTGCTGCCTGGATCCCTGGGCTCCCTTCTTCCCCTTAGCCCCTCACCATGTGAGGGGTTCTCTCTGTGCCTCTTCTCTGGATCCAGCCTTCCTTTTTTTGGATCCAAATTTCTCTAATAATAAATAGCTCTCCATCTTAGCCAGACTGTTGTGTTTTTTTTTTTTCAGGGGGTGAGGGAGGGAGGGAAAGGGAGGAGGACCAGAGGGGCAACTGTGACCTGTAAGTTATTCCTGGTCTCAGGAAATGGGGAAGGTGACTGTCAGGGCAGGTCTCACTGACTTGGTGGGTCACTGAGATTCTAAGAGAAATAAGGCCTGAGGCCAAGCTTGGGCTAGGCCCTGTATTCATCAGAGCTTAGATGTCTATCCCTCTAGAGAGGGAAGATTGTGGTAATGGCATTGGGAGATGTTTCTTTGTGATGTGTCCTACTCTAACAAAGAGAGACACTCTGCCAACCCACTTTACAAACTAACTCCCCCTGCCCAGCCCCAGAACTACCCCACTGACCTGAGGACCTTTCTGTGTTGAACAGGAAGATGGTTTCACATGTCCACTAGCAGTGTGACTGTGGTGGCTGAAGCACATCCCAAACCTAGGTGTCTGTTTCCTCATCTGTTAATTGATTTTGGCTAGAATTTTCTGAAGGGTGCTAAATGCCTATATGCACTTGTAACACTCATGGTTCCTTTCCAGGAGTGCAGGAGTGCTTCAGAAGGCCAAAGCTGAGTTAGGCTGATTGTATCTTTATCCAAACTCCTATGTCCCAGGACTTATATTTGAAGGAGGGCTGACCCTCAACTATGGATAAGAGGAATAGCTATTTAAGTTACATAAAAATAAATCCACTTGCTCTAACCAGCTTAGTAAGAGGTCTGTTCCTCTAGACTTCATTCCTCTCCTCCTTAGGAGCTTCCCAGCAAAACCACAGAAACCTGGTAACATGGTGTGAGGAGGAGGAGAAGGAGAAAAGGAGGAGGAGATGGAAGAAATGGAAGATGAGAAGCAAGGGAAGGAAGGTGAGGAGGAGGAGGAAGAAAAGCAAAAAATGATGGTTTTTAACTTCCAACAAAGGAAGGTGACACTGACCAGCAATATAGTGTGTGTGTGGGGGATGGGTGGGGGTGTTATCACAAGCTCCAGCTGAGGAGGGGATGTAAATGGAGAACCATAAGGTGGGGGAGACAGGCTCATATTTCACCAGGCTGACCTCAGCCTTACCTCTTTACACTCAGATGCAGTAAAAGGGCAAGAGCCAGGTCCTGCACCCCACTCCAAATCAGAGGGGATAAAAGTATTTGCCATAGAGGGGTTTCTATGGCAACAGCACATCATCTCTGACCCTACATCTTTCCTAGATTTCCAGAAAAACAGCCTGCTATTGGCCCCTTCTTGAGGATCAGACAGGCCACAAGATGTAGCATAGTGTTCCGGGACATCATTAATTGAAAGGAGAAAGAAAACTTGGAAAAGGGTAGAAGTGGAACAAAAGTTCCAAGTTCCTGTGGACCTTTGCCAGCAGAAGTGGACTGCGAATCCCGGCGTGCCTAGCGGGGCTGCAGCTAGGACTACGCTTCCCAGCGGGCTCCGCGATAGGCCGGCGGGGGCGGGGTGGGGGCGGGGCGGACCGCGGGGTGGGTGCTGCCCTCTGCCGGGCGCGGCGGGAAGTGGGTGCGGAGTGACAGCCGAAGCCCGGGTGCCCGGCGCGGGGCTCGGTGACAGCGGAGGCGGCGGCCGCGGGCGGGACGCAGGGAGCGACGGCCGCGCGGACAGCGGCGGGAAGGGCGGACTGGGCGGGCCTCCCTGGTGGCGCGTAGCCCGAGGAGCCCGGGAGCGGGCAGCGGGCGCAGCTCGCCGACCGGGCACCGAACTTGGGACAAGTTGCCGGAACCGCAGGGCGCCGGCGGCGGACAGATTGACCTTCAGAGCGAGGTGAGCGGGGCCAGGGGGCAAGGGGCAAGCGGAGGACCCGGTACCCCCACCCCAAATTCCCCAGCTCCCATCTCGTGGGTCTCGGAGACAGGTGGGTGGGCGGGGGTGCGGGCTGGAGAGGGGAGCGGGACTGAGTGCGCCGCGTCGCCATCCGCCCGCAATCCGTCCAGCCGCTGGTGCCCGGCGCGTGGCTGGAGCGGCACTGCCTGCCGAACCCAGGAGCCCCTCCCGCCCCTCCCTTCAGGCCCGGGCCGGGGGCGGCTTCTCGGCGACCTTATGTAACCGGGCGGGAGGGGCCGGGCGGGCATGGGCCTTCCCGGCCGGGGAGCTGGGAGTCGAAGGGGCGGGAGGCGTGGGAGTGAACTTGCAAGAAGTTTGAGGGACGCAGGGGCCCGGAGCTCACTCCCCCTCCACCGGACGCGGCGCGGGCGGAGGATGCGGGGGAGGGAGTCGGAGGCCCGGGAGGTGTGCGGGGGCGACTCTGCCCCGCCAGGTCCAGCCTGGATGGTCTCGGGGGAGTGGGAGGGCCCGCGCGGCGCCCCGCCCTGGGGGCTGGGCTGCAAAGGGGCGGGTGAAAGTGCCATCTCTCCCTCCCTTCCTGTCCTTTTCTCTCTCTTGGTCCCTGGAAGAAGCCTCCCCTGCACCGGACCCTTGGTGTCCTTGGGCAGTCTTTTTCTCCCCTCGCACTATTCCACGACCCTCGGGAACCCCAGAGGGCACACTCTGCACGCCCCGTTTTCTGCTTCCTTCAGAGCTCCCTGTTCTCCCTTCACACCCGTCTCGGTCCCGAGTTCCGGAAAACACGCCCCCTTCCCCTGGGTCCCCCGAGTCTGTGGTAAGGGGTTCGCGCTCTCGTCTCCCCCTTTCCGCTACTCCGATCGGCTGTTCGGCCCAGCTCCTGCGATCGCCTCCTCGAAAGGAGCGGGCAGATGCCACCTGGGTCCCCGCCCCTCGGCCCCCTCCGGGCGCCGAGTTCTGGCTTCACGCGCGGCTGCCCCCGAGCTGCTCCCGGCTGCGCGAGCAGGTTCGCGCCGCAGCCGCCTGGCGCGCCCCAGCCCCGCGCCTTGGGAGGAAGGGAGGGCGCCCGGGCGGGGCTCGTCTGCGCCAGAGCCTGCTCTGCCCCGGCCCCCGCCTTCTACTCTTCGCCTGCCCCTGATCGCGGCGCCCTTCCCGAACCCCGTCAGCTGCAGTCGTTGTCCTCTCGCCTGTTATGCTGAAGACAGTTTCAGGACTAAACTTGAGCGCAGTTCTTTGGCTCGGTGCTCGCTCCCTGGGGAAGTGTTGGTTAATTACCGGCTGCTCCGCCCCCACGCCCGAGTGAGGGGTGCTTGAACTAGCAGGGAAGGGGAAAGAACAAGGCCTTTGGGACGTGGCCTCAGGCTCCCGCACCCGCGCCGGCCCAGATTCTGCTGGCTCAGACCTGGCATTCTCCGCCAGTTGGGGTGAAGTGGGGGCCGGGCGCCGGTTTCCTCCAGGGCGGCCAGGTGCAGATGCTCTCAAATCAGAGCTCAGAAGCCTGACCCTTTCTGGACGCGTTCAGTGGCCGGCCTGCGCGCCAGCCCTAGCCTCTGCCCTGAGGCAGCACCCATTTTAGGGAGAGTCAGCTAGCAATAGTTACTGGCCGCCAGGAGAGGCAGTGGAACCCAAAGGGTCGGCAGCCTTGGGGGCCCTGCTTGGTAGTCTAAGGGTGTGTTTTTAACATGCCTCAGTTTCCCTAGCCCCAGGGAAAATTGCAACTCACTTGGCTCCCTTCTTTCTGCTGCCTCCTGGCTGCTGGGACGGGAAATCTGGGGACCAGTTATAAGGAAGGGCAGGGCTGTTTGGGGTGACAAACAGCTCCCGCAGGGGAGCCAATGTTGCTTGCAGTTTACAAGGCCTGTTACAGCATAACTCATCTCTGTGGTACTGAACCAAGTGAGGATCAGGGCTCTTCAGGGTTCAAGTTTCGTGGCAGGGGTACAGGGAATGGGGCAGGAGCCATCTCTGATGAGCACTGAATCCAAAGACAGGCAGCTGGACTTCTGAGGGCTGGTGGGCAGGGGTGGTCCAGGGCAAGCCCATTCAAGCACTGGTGGGGGTGCCCAGCACCCACACCCACAGCCAGTGAGGCCCCCTCTCAGCCTGTTTCCAGGACACTGGGAAGTAGGTGGGAGGGGTCCCCACACTGTGAGCCTAACTGTCCTTTAGGGTCTGGCTTGTGGCCCTGATCCCTCCTGGGTTGTGTTTATGGCTGTAATTGCATCATTAGCCAGGGTTTATAGAGTTACTTAGCACCTGCCCCCACAGGGAGTGGCTTAGCCACCTCCTGGTTCTGTCTCTTCCTCGTCAAAGTAGACTCCCTTTCTGCAGGCGGTAGGGGTTTCCCCAGCCTACCAACCAACCACAGCTGGCATGAAAGCCAGGTTGGGCCTTTGTCCTGGGGATGGAGGACAGTCAGCACTTGGGGCCCAGCTTGGGGCTGCCCTGGAGATGACAGTGGAAATTGGGTTGGCCTCCTCTGATCGGAAGCAGGGAGGGAGCTCAGGTTCCTAGAGCTGCCAGAAGTGTCCCCAGCCCAGGCTGCGGGGAGCCTCTGTGCACACCCTGTGAAAGGAGGGACTAGAAAAATGCAGTTACTTTGAAGGCTGTGAGGAGGTTTAAGGGCAGAGCAGGGCCAGGTGCTTGGTGAGTACATGGTGCTGCTCTTCTGGACTGTGTGTGGTTTGTGTAATGGCTGCCAGTTTGTATGTGTGGTTATGATACAGGTATCTAGGTTGCTCTGGGTAGGTGAATTGTGTAGATGTGTGTCTATAAGAGTGTAACAACACATCATATTAATAGACCTTTCATGTCTGTGCTGTACTAGAACAATAGTCTAACAAAATGTAGCCAGAAACAATAGCTACCAACACTTACTGTGTGTTAACTCTTTAGATTGAGGTAGGAATTATTACTTTCATTAGACTGATTCAGAGAAGTTAAACAAGTTGCTAAAAATCACACAGCCTGGAAGTGGCAGGACTTGGGTTTCAAACCCAGGTTCAACTGACTCCAAAGTCCAATCTCAAAAAAAGACCACTTCAGGGTTTCCCAGGAGTTCTCTTTTAAAAGGTGGGGGGTGTAGCCGGATGTCAGTGGCTCACGCCTGTAATCCTAGCTACTCTGGAGGCAGAGATCAGGAGGATTGCAGTTCCAAGCCAGCCCAGGGCAAATAGTTCTTGAGACCCTATCTCAAAAAAACAAAACAAAACCCATCATAAAAAGGGCTGGTGGAGTGGCTCAAGCGGTAGAGTGCCTGCCTAGCAAGTGCAAGGCCCTGAGTTCAAACCCCAGTGCCGCCAAAAGAAAAGGATAAAAGGTGGGGGTGTGGCGGGTTGGGGCCCTTCTTTTCCCTGTCCATCCTGCTTGGCCAGGGGAGGAGATATGGCACCCAGGAAGAGAAGGGAGCATTTGTTATGGACTGCCTTCTGGGCACCCGGCTTTGTACCATGGACTTCAGGCCATTAACCTACAGTGACGCCTTCAGTAGGCACTTGCTTCACCAGATGTGGAAGAAAGGCTATGTTGGGTGAGAATGGACAGCAGTGGAAGTCATAAAGCCCTGGACTAGGAACCTAGGGACCCCAGCTGTGTGGCTGGAGCAGATCCTGCTTTACTTGGCCTCAGTTTCCCTGTCTGTGAACCCAGATCATTTGTGGGGTCCTCTTCAGTACAAACCTTCTACAGACCTCTGCCCAAGGTATCAGGATGGGCACCAGGCTTCAGAAAGAGAAGGGGGTGGGATGGACTGCCGGAGTTCACAGATTGGGGCTTTAGTTAACAGCTGGCCCTGGGGAGGCAGCCAGGCAGTTTCTTGGGCTATAACCTTAGCACTGGGCCAAGTATAACCTAATCAGGTTCAACGTTGACACTGTGGGCTCTCTGGTGAGCTGCTTAGCTATAGTGTGCCTTAGTTTCCACACTTAACAAGGTATAGATTATAGTAGTGCCTACCTAAGTCAGGGTCAAGTGCCTTGATGTGCAGTGCACATACAGCACTTAGAATAATGTATAATTAACTCTTGCAACTCACATATTGATTTCATTTTTTATTTTCAAGTGAGGAAACAGAGGTACAGAGGTCCAATGAGGAATAAAGACCTGTGGGTTGGAACAGGCCTCCCTGTGTGTCTGACTCAAATGGAACACCTTCTGCAGAGCTTTGCAGACCCAGGGACCACAGTCCCCACCACTCCCTGTTGTTGCCTCCTCCCCCTGGCAGGGTCTCCTCATTTAATAAGAGAACATAGGGGACTTGGCAATGCCTGCAGTGTCTCTCGCAGCCCTGCCCCTTGGGCTTCCGTGGGGAGCATCTGGCCTGGCCCCTTGCCACCCCTTCCTATCTGTGACTCTCCCTGCCATCATCCCCTTGGCTGTGATGTCACTGAGGGCGGAAATAAAATCCCAGCGATAGGGCAGGATCTGAGACTTATCGCACCCACAGGAAATGCTTTGCTGTGGGGTGGCGGGGCAGTGGGTAAGATCAGAGGGTAGCCGAGAGACAGAGGCAACAGGCGGGGTTATCACCACTTTCTGCCCTGGATCTTCTTTGGTTTTTTGGAGCTGGGGAATGGAACCCAGGCCTCTGCGTGCTCTGCAAGTGCTCTATCACTGAGCTACAGCCCTGGCTCCTGTCTTGGCTCTTATGTGCAGGCAAAAGGAAGAAGAGAAATGAGGTCTGGCTATTGCCATGTCTTGTCCAACTTTCTTGGGGGCAGGTCACCTTGTTGGCTCTTAGGCATACAGTGGACGTCCCAAAGCAGATGTGATATTATGGAGAATCATCCAGGGATCCCAACAGACTTCCTGTCTATAAACCCACGGGCCACTTGCTCTCATCCCAGGCCTCTTTCATGCAGGTGTTCTCTCTGGGGACATCCTCCCTGCTCCCTGTCTCTAATCAAGTCTTTTATCTGTCATGGCACACCTTTCCAGAAGGCCTGGCTGGATATTATGACCTTTTGGGAGTTCTTCAAAATACC